TGAAATATTTAGGAATAAACCTAACCAAAGAAACAAAAGACCTGTATAAGGAAAACATATAAGATATTATCACAAGAAACCAAATGAGATCTACATAAATGTTCATGGATAGGAATACTCAATATTCTTAAAATGTCAATACTACCCAAAGCAATCTACAAACACAACAAAATCTTGATCCAAATCCCAACATAATTATTTAACTTAATGGAAAAACTAACTACAAACTTTGTATGGAGAGGGAAGAGGCCCAGAAGAAGTAAAGAACTTCTCAAAAAGTAGAACACAGTAGATTGTCTTGTACTACCTGGCCTCAAAATCTACTGCACAGCAATAGTTATCAAAGCAGCCTGGTACTGGTATAATGATAGATAAACCAATGGAACAAGATAGAAAACCTAGAAATAAAAGCATCTGCTTACAGACAACTGATTTTTTAAAAAGAACCAAAATATATTAAATGGGAAGAGGGTCCCCTGTTCAATAAATTGTGCTTGACAAATTGGATATCCATCTGCAGAAAAATGAAATAGGATCCATATTTCACCTGATTAACAAAAACAAACTCAAGATGGATCAGAGATACCGTATACACTTGAGTATAAGCCAACCCGAATATCAGCCTAGGCACCTAATTTTACCACAAAAACTGCATTAAAAATGTGCTGAAAAACTCAGCTTATACATGAGTATATAGAGTAAATGTAAACTTCAAAGTTAATAGGATCAAAAACAAGAAAATTGGGACAAAATTAAGAACCCTATTGCACAGCATACACAGACTACCAGATATAACAAAGGAAGCACACACAATGGAAGACAAAATAGATGACTGGAACCTATTAAAAATAAAACACTTATGTACATCAAAAGACTTAAAGTGGTAAAGTGAATTTTTTTGGGGGGGGGGAGGAGTCTTTACCAGTGACATAACAAAGGACAATGTGGTAGTTACATAATCTGTTGTCAACCTGTTACTATTAAGAGTGAAGGGGTGGAGTTTAGCCTGTCAATCAGGTCACATTTTGATGACCTCATTTGGAGGCACTAAGGGGATAAATAGCTCGCTGGAGTGGGACACATACTCCCTGGAAAACATTCCTGTTGACAAGCCACAGGAAGCGGTGCTGATGGCAGCCAGAGCCTTGGAGCTGGAGGAGCTACAAGGAGACCTGCACCAGCGCTAAGATGCTTCCACCACCACTGGATTCACAAGACTTTCTACCCACTGGCCTGTGATCTTCCTGTAATCGGTGTCATTGCATGTGTTTCATAAGTCTGAAGAGGAATTTATAGATTGGTACTGGACATATAGGCTAATATCGGATTTATGAACTTGATCTGGACTAGGCTGGGATATTTTCTTAATGTACAATTACTATTTATATAAAGCTCTTAATATGCATATGTGAGTCTCCCTGGATTTGTTTCTCTAGTCTACTCGGACTGACACAGACAAATTATTAAAATTTACAGAATTCTGCAACATTCCAATAATAAAAAAATGAAACAAAACAAATAACCCTCTTAAAAGATGTGCAAAGGACCTGAATAGATGATGCACAAAAGACAGTACTTGAATGACTAACAAAAACATGAGGAAATGCTCATGTTCACGAACTATCCTTGAAATGCAAATCCAAACAACAATGAGATGCCATCATACACTCACAACCACAGCACAGTTAAACAAAACAAAAAAAGTAAACAGAATAACAAATGTTGGAGAGGGTGTGGAGAGACTGGAACTCTTACACACTGCTGGTAGGCAGGCTAATATGTACTAAAATTGTATAATGCAATGCAGTGATACCTAAAACAACTGGCAATAGAAATACCATAAGACCAAGCAATACCATTGCTGGGCATATACCTAATGAAATAAGACACAGGTCACGAATAGACGTATGCTCTCCTGTGTTCATTGCAGCAAGGTTCACAAGAGCAAGAAGTTAGAAACAACCCAAATTCCCATCAGGAGAAGAATGGATAAAAAACATTGGTATATACACACAATGGACTATAACACATCCATAAAATACCACAATGAAACACCTCAATAAATGAAGGGATCTGGAAATCATTATCCTGAATGAAATTAGTCAACTAAAAAAGGACAAATATTATATGAGTTTAATACTATAAGGATAAACACCAAGATGAAACCAAACACATGCTTCCAGGTCATGCAATCTGCTAACCCAGTCTGCCAAGCAAAGCAGGAGAGAACATTATTGGTGCCCAGGAAGCATACTGAATCCTCTATGTACATCTTAAACACTACTTTGACAGAGGATGTTTCACGTCAATCAGTATCAGATTTTGAAGAGGAGGGGAAAGGGAGATGACCATAACTACTGCCATACAAAACTGTGCTAAGGTCACTCCAAACCAACAGACATTCCTACCAGAGTGACAATTACTCTTCATGGGAAAATCAAGTTAAGAGCGGGGGACGAGTTCATATAGGTCCTGGCGAAGGAAGTGCATTTCTGTTGGTAGAAAAATGGGGAGAATCAGCCTCCCAAGAGGAAGAAAACTAGTAACGATATTTATACGGAGCCCAAGGGGAGAATATGCCTGGTACTATGATCCCAATAGTGCACATTTGACCTAGTTTCTATACAGGCCTTAGGGACTCAGGTCATGTGGCAAAGACTACTGGGACTTTAAATCCTGTGTTTTCGAGGGACACAACATCCTGCAAAGACTCGAGGTGGAAACCCCACTAAGTGCACTGGGCTCTACCTCAAACGCACCTGTAATCAGTGCACTTCAGGCTGAAACTACATGGTGTGTGAAAAAGCAGAAGCTATCCCAAGAGTATTGAAGGGGCAGTTGGTGAACCATATATTTACTACTTCAGTGACCTATTTGCTTTATTAAGATATTTATTAATATGGTAGACCTGATTCTACCACTGCCATTGAATATTGTTGTACGTTTTGCCTTACCACAACCCACATGATTTTTGTAAGTAGTGACTAATCACATAATGATTTAATTGGTACAAATCAATAATTTATGTCTAATCACATAATTATTTAATTGGTACAAATCAATAATTTATGTATTGTGATTTTTAGCCAGCCTACATTGGTTCAATCTCCTTTTCTCAATTGTGCTTTAAATGCAATATCACGGACTAAATTAAGGGCACTATCAAGAGAATGATTGATAACATTCTTTAGCATAAAATAAAAAAGGTCACTCTAAAGTGAACCAGAGGCATATATAAACCAGAACTATATGGATGGACTTTGGCCTTGCACTAAATCCTAGCCCCAATCTTAGAGCAATTAGTTCTCATGACATGGCCTTGGTTAATACTCGTCCTCATAAAGAGTTCACAGAAGATATGGGTGTTACAACAAAATGTGCTGAAGAAACTAGATGGTGCACAGCTATCAGAAAGAATAGCATCTGGGGTCTTGAAGGCTTGCTCTCAAACAAGCAGTCATCTAAGTGAGACATCAACTAAATCCACATGGAAAAAGCACACCAGCCTGTATGAGCCAAGGATTGTAAATAATATAATCAATATCTGAAAGAGGCTTTGTATCAAAGATTAAATTGTGAACACCTAGTTTTCAGAAGGCTATGAAGGATAATAGAAGCCCAAAATCCACTTGTAGGGTCCACACATAGATTAAACCTCCAGTGAATCCCCTCTGACCATTTTTAAGGGATGTGAATAGCCTTGCTATCATTCAGAGACAATTGTAAAGGCCATTTTATAGTTAGGTTAAAATGTAATTTCTTATTTGATCTTCCTATTGACTCATTTAAGAGTTGCTTTACAAGTCAACTTTCCCCAAGAGAGGAAAAAGAAAAAAGAAAATTTTAAGGTAGATTCCTTGGGTATATATTGTGACAACAATATACCATCATGTACAAATTTTTATTGGAAAACAGTAAAATAATAAAAGGACAAGTGATTGTTATTGGTAGAGTACAAACCAATACAAACATAAGCAAAATAAAAATAAAATAAAATCACTGAAAAATAAATAAAAGTTGGTTCAGTTTTTTAAAAAAGTGTGGATTAAGCCTCAGGTGAAGGGATCTGAATAGCCTTGCAGAGGGCATTTGGAAGTGAATTATTGTAGATACAGTTAGGTTAAAATTTAACACCTTATCATTTAATCTTCTTGTTGACCCGTTTTAAAGTTTTTCTAGTTTTTAATGTTTTCTGATTTATTTCATAGAGGCTTTTCTCTTTTACATTGTTGTTTAGTTTTGCTGTGGCAGTGGTGGTTTGTTTTGTATGTTTTTCTGTATATGAAATCCAGAATAGGTAAGTCTATAGAGAGAGTAACTGGATCAATGATTTCTTGGAGGTATGGCAGGGGAAGTTGGGGGGACATGGGGACCTAATAACAATGAGTTCAAGAAAGAAGAAAATGTTATAAAACTGATTGTGGTAAGTACAACTCTTCTTGAATGTGATTGAACTAATGAATTGTATGTTATGTGGATTATATGCCAATAAAACTGCTAAAAAAGAAAGAAAAAATCATCTCTATTTATATTCATTATGCATTCTGCTTTGAGAATTGTTTTCAAACTTATCCTCTCACCAAACTCACAGACATCAAGTCGATGCAGATTCACAGCAATCAGTTATATTACTATGTAAATAATTATTTGGTCTTTATAAATAGTTGCAATTCAATATAAAACTATCAAGGGCCACTGGAGAAAAAATCTCTACTTTCACTATTATTTCCATGAACATTTGCTCTAAAAAAACTTTGATATGAACTTTATATTAATGACAATGCCAAATACTATCAATGCTTAAATTCATTTATGAACTCTTTACTTAAAACTAGAAGCACTAAAAGAGCCAGCATTAATTAAAATGCCCTACATACGGACTCATTTCCAAGATACCCAAAATGTAGATGCCCTTATGAAAGGGGAGTAGCATAGGTACTATAAAACATCTGTTTTAGATACTTTCTCTTCAGGAATTCAGAATTTGAAATTATTTTTACCTTATAATCCAAGAGAGAATTCACTTGTTCCACTTCAGAATTGCTTATCATTTCACTTTCATCGTCATCAATAATTTCTATTTTCTGAAAGAAAAGTGGGGAAGTTTTGATAAATATATGCCAGGTCATTATCACTATATTCAATAATGTATAGAACATCTATGTTCAATGTTCAGTTATCAAGTTGGAGTTAATTACTTTAGATTATCTGGAATAAATTCTGATACTTGAATAATTCTTCAGTGCTACACCCACTATGTGCCTGAGTGACTAATATTTACCTTTGATTTATGAGTGCTTAGTAAATATAAAATCACTTTAATATCACCTAGCACAGAAAAATCCCGTTCAAAATGTCCTTGGGAAAAAATAGGCACTCAAATTCTGTTTAAACAGAACACTCTCTAGTGGCAGTGAATTCACTTCTTACAAGGGAAGTTTATTTCATTAGTAAACTTTTCTAATTGGTAGGAAGAACGTTCTTTTTTGTTGTTCCCATAGCCTCTTTTGAACTTTTAATGCAAAATATCAATGTTGGCATAATATTCCAAAGTCAAAGACAAAAATTTTAAATAGCATATTTATTATACTCCACTAGGTAATTGAAAGCTGACATCTATAATATAATGGCAAAAAATGAATGATAATTTTCTTTTTTACTGGAAAGTGACAATGACACACAGAGAGAGATTTTGTTAGTAGGTAGTCTTTTAAAAGCAAATTCATTAAGGGAGTATAAAAAAATCTCCTTTAGAGGAAGAAAAGAAAACAGGAGAGAGGCGTGGGATAGAATATGGGGTGAAGGGATGATGAGGGAGTTGAATTGTTGAAAGTAGAGTTGATGGTCTGAAATATAACCCCCCACCTAATTCACACAAAAAATTCATTAAACATAAGAACGCACAAATTCATTAATAGCAATGTGATTTATGGACAGAATTTGAAATCACAATTTGTAGACCTATAATATATATTGTGATTTAAAGTCACAAATGTGGAAAAATCATAGCTCATATATTCCCAATGTGCATATAATACTATTTTCGGGGGGGGTGTAACCTGTGAGTTTTTAATTTAAGAGGATGGCTACAACAAAAGTTCTTTCTACTGCTGACTGGAGATGAATATCATGTTTTGTTTTCCATTGTAATCATTACAAGCTCCGGGTTTGATCATGTTGGCTTTTACTGGACCTCGGATTTGGTACTTTATTCCACATGCCTGATTTATTGAGGTTGGGTTTGTGTGTGTGTGTGTGGGGGGGGTGCTAGGCAGTGGAGGAAGGAAGGCACCACGGCCCACTGTATATTGTTAGGTGCAGTCAAGTCAGTTCTGACTCAGCAACCCTAAGCAAAACAAAATGAAACCCTGCCAGATCCCACACCAACTTCAAAATGGTTATATTTGATCTTATTGTTGCAGCTACTATGTGGATTCAAGATTGAGCGTCTTCCACCTGTTTACTGCCCCTCTACTTTACCAAATGATGTCCTTTTCCAGGAACTGGTCTGATTTATTGCACTGTGTATACTGTGATTTCTCCAAATGTGGAAAGCTCCACTGCATAATTTGTGGTAATATGGGGATCGTTGTATAGATTTGTGCATTTAAATAAGTCTCGCATATCTGTGTGCTTTGTCAGCCATGGCTATTTTGAGGCAATTAAAGTTTTACTCAGAGCTAAACCTTTAAAAGTTGAGAGTTTTGTTTCAGAAAATCAATTGTTCTTGAAAAAATGTATGTGTCTGAGCAACTGTGAATCATTTCCTGCCATGACTTCATTCATTACCATCAAATAACTGTTGCAGGGAAGACAATGCAGAAAAATTCACGTTAAAATGAGTGTGATTCTAAAGAGATGGAGGTTTAAATTTATAAGTCATCAGACAGTCCTTGCACAATGCAATTTATATCTATGGCAGTGGGAGATTATTACTTGATGGCATTTAAGATGATTTATAATAGTGGAAGACAATCACTGCTAGTTACCTAATAAAATAGTAGCATGTTTTTTTTTTTCTATATGTCTTTTGGACTTAGTGTTCTGAGAGGCTTCAAGTTCAATAGGTCTAAAATCAATACAATGCAATAATCAGAAACTATTATGAATTACAAAACATGTATTCATATGTAGTTAACGGATGAGTCTTTCTACTCTCATAAAGAGTTACAGTCTTGGAAACTCATGGGGGCAGATTTACTCTGTCCAATAGGATTGCTATCACTCAGCGTCTACTTGATGGCAGTGAGTTTTTTGCAACAACCCCCCCCCAAACTATTCAATATACTTAACAATGATTAAGGAAATATGGCAGAATTGTGATATCAAATATTTGTAATAGAAGCCAGTGTAAATGTTGAAGCCTCCGCAGAAAAAAATGCACACTAGGGGTCAAATTGTGAAAGCTTGCAATCAGGTACGAAACTCTGACTTAAAATGAGAACGAAAGCACATATGCCTGACTTCAGTTAATCACCACCTTGATTCCCTACTTGATGGGCTCAGAATGTAAACAGATGCTGTGAAGCCTGGAAAGTATTCTTTCTTTTTTACTTCTACACCTGCCATAGGCACTTTCTTTCTTTCTTTCTTTCTTTATCCTCTTGTCATTGATTTATTTCCTTCTTTATTTTAAAATAATTTTATTGGGAAGTCTTACAGTTGTAGTAACAATTCATACTTCAATTAGATCAAGCGTAATCGTACAGTTGCTACCACCATCATTTTCAAAACATTTTTTTTCTTCTTTAACTCCTTGATAACAGTTCCCCTTTATCCCCTTCCTTCCCTGCCTTACCCCCAGGAGCCCTTATTGTTATGTTAGATTATTCATTATTATTATCCATGTCGTAACGCCTACAATTCTGTTATTTGTTCCCCTCAAGTGGGATTATACAGTGATCATTGCTATCAGGTCCCAATGCCCCCTCTTCTTCCCTCCTCTCTTCCTGTACCTTCAGGGAATCATTATAAAGATTATAAAAATCATTCTTTATATACCAAAATGTTACATTTCATAAAACCCAGTTTAATCCATGGACAGGGCTCCCTTTTTTGCTATTCAGCCTTCTAATCCTGTCTTTCCCCATTTTACTGAAGTCTTAAGGTGACTAAAAAAGTTCATTTAATCAAGACGGAAAAAAAGTCCCAGTACAGAATGGTCTGAATAGAAAACTTAAGAGTTAAAAATCCTTGGATGCAAGTCGCAGCACTAATAAAAGCCTCCTTCATAATCTCAGGCTAAACTCAGTTTTAATTCTGCCATCTGTCAAATGAGAAGAAATCTGCACTTTGCTAAAAGGTGCTAAAAAATACAACTTGTATGTATAAAATGCCATATGTGTACTAAGCACCAGGGTTTTATATTTGCAGCTCTCCTAAATTAAAATAATTGTGGTACGATGGCACTTAAAATACATTTTTGTGCTCTCAGAGATACACAATTTCATTGATAACAATTGTGTTTTGGTTTATGAAGTGGTGCAAGACAATATTCTGACAATGCTGATATTATGACCATCTGAAAATATGTCCTTGAAAATCAATCATGAAATGAAGAAAGATTTTCAAAATGTACATACCACATTATCTTCAGATACTGCATGATGGCCATCTTCCTTATGAACCCTTACCTCATTTGAAACAACTTCACTGGACTCTTCTATAGGAAGAAAATACATCAAATTAATTTTTCATTTCTCAAAACTGTATTGAGATTTCTTTTAAGATAATATGCAAATAATTTCTCATTTTTAAAAGGATACAAGGGGCTAATTCACTTCATACATACTTACACGTGTGTTCTCAGTTTTTAAACAATGTAACCCTAAGGAAATAAGGATAGATTTGTGCAAAATCAAGGATATTCTCCTTTATAACATTTATAACAAAGAAGGGAGAAAAACAAAAAACACCACGTATGTGCTGAATAGTTTAAAGTTTAAGAAATGATTTAAAATCTTTCTGTAGAATAGAATAATATGAATCCACTAAAAATGAGGTATATGTGATCATAAGAAGAACATTATTCATTATCTATGGGAAAGTTAAATAAAAAAGATCACTAAGCTTACAGTGATTTCATTTTTGTGAAGGAAAAAGTGTACATGGGTAAATAAAAAGTATTGCTAACAGAGTTTTCGTTCATACACCCAGGTGATTATTCCAAAGAAAACATGCTTAAACATGTCTCTGCACACAGTGGATGGCTGTCAATAAATTCTCTCAGTAATACACTTGTCTTAGTCTCATTAGGATGCTTTAAAAAACTAATAATTTTTGCTCCCATGAAAATGAAAACAATTTTGAGCTCAGGGCTAGTCCCTTGGTCAGTCCAAAGCATTATTTTGATAGAGTTTCTCAAAAGCCATACACTGATCAATCATGTGGGACTTATTATGAATAGTCTTGAAGAGAGTTGAAAATTGCATTGGTGATAAAAAGACCAAGGCCCTATGACAAGGACCCCTACCCCCCCACCCATCACAACACCTCTGGTCATTCTTTGGGGATAGTAAGGGCTGTCCCAAGGAAATTTATTGGGAAACCTTACCCCATCCACCCTAGAGCCTGGTCATGCCACATCAGGTTTCTTTTTGTTCTCCAAATATAAAGCACATTGAAAAAGGAACACAATTTGAGTCCCTTGAAGATACCAGAATTGTTATAAATTGACATAATATAAAATGTTGTAAATTGACATGATATAAACTGAAGAGGGCTGGATTATTTGGGGGGAAATTAGTGATGGAAACACTGCTTTCATATTTTGATGTTTTTTTAATAACAATTTCTATTATCTTGTATCTGTATTGTTTACACTTACAAATACTTCTGGAGAAAACAAAATAACTCGCCGTATTTAAATCAACACAGCATTATTATCACAATGGAATTACAGGGAATTTTCATATTTCTTCATTTTATTTATAATTATTCTTATTTCCTCCTTTTTACTTATTTGTGTTTAAATATTTTCTACAATTAGCATGTATTGCTTACTGTATTAAGATAATAATAGCACAATTTCAATGCATAAAGCATAAAGCTATAGAATACATTTGTATTTTGTAAAACGATAGTGTTAGTATTATTTCTATTTTCATGGCACTTTCTACAATGATCATGTATTCTTTTATGATCAAAAGTTAATTTTCTGAAAATAAGAAAAAAATTATAATAGAAAGAAATTACCTCAGAATTCAGAGATTCAAATAGCATTCTTACTGAGCTTCAGAAAATAGCTGGTTGAGTTTTAAATAAAAACATTTTATTGTGAATTAGATGGCGAGGTTACATAATAGTTCATAATTTTTGTATTCTACAACCGTAACAACTTATTAACCCTTAGTTCCCATACCCAGGTCTTCTGCTCCATTTTCCTTTTGTTGGATATTATCTTTCCTTTACAACATTAACTGCTGCTGACCCTCTACCGTATTACTTCTCCAGACTGCCCCTCCTTTTCCACCTCGGGTAACCACCAAAGTCTTTGTTATGATAAAGTTTATCTACTTTTTTATAACGGTGATCTCATACAATATTTGTCCTTTTGTGTTTGACTAACTTCATTTGCCCGTCAGTTTGTTACACTATGATGGCCTGTGTGTTGTTGTGATGCTGGAATCTATGTCACAGGTAGTTCAAATGCCAGCAGGGCCATCTAAAGTGAAAAGGTTTTAAGAGAGCTTCAAGACTATGAATAAATTCTGAAGAAGGAATAGGCTGCCCACTCAAAATATGTGTGAAGAAACAGTGGAGAAACTAAATATCAGTAGCTAAAACAAGGCTGTAGTACATTGACAGGGGACTAAAAGAGGTACTGGTTCAGAAGTGGGAATGATACAAGGAATATCACTGGTAACAGCAGATGGACATTGGCTGAAAGCAGAGAATACCATAAAGACGTTTACTTGTGTTTTTTGACTATTCCTAGGCATTCCACTGAGGGGACCACAGCAAACTATGGATAGCCTTGAGAAGAATGGGAATTCCAGATCACTTCATTGTGTTCATGTGAAAACTGCTCAAGGACCAAGAGGCAGTCGTGTGAACAGAACAAAGGGACGCTGCAACATTTAAGATCAGACAAGGCGTTTGATGGGGTTCTTTATTTAATTCGTATGCTGAATAAACAATCAGAGCATCTGTACTATATGAAGAAGAATGTGGTATCAGAATTAAAGGAAGGCTTATTGAGAAACAAAAAATGTAGATGACACAACCAAAAGTGAGGACTTGAAGTACTTGCTGACGATGAAGGATTTCAGCCTCTAATATGAGTGACAACTCAATGCAAAGAAAACCAAAATTCTCACAACTGGACTGATATTATGATAAATGGAGATAGGATTGAAATTGTCAAGAATTTCATTTTGCTTGGATCCACAATCAATGTTCATGGAAGCAGCAGTCAAAAAATCAAGGGACACATGGAATTGGGTAAATGTGCTGCACAAGACCTCTTTGAAGTATTGAAAACAAGGATGTCACTTTGAGGACTAAGGTATTCCTAACCCAGGCCATGATGTTTTCATTTTCCTAATATGCATGCAAAAGTTGTCCATTGAATAAGGAAGACAAAAGAATAATTAATGCATTTGAATTATGGTACTAGAAAAGAATGTTAAAAGCGCCATGAATTACCAAAAGAAACAAATTCGACTTCAAAGAAGTACAGCCAGAATTCCCTTAGAAGCACGGATAGTGAGAATTAATTCTCATGTACTTTGGACATGTTATAGAGAGAGATCAGTCCCTGGATCAGTCCTATTTGTTTGGCAAAATAGAGGTTCAGTGAAAAAGAGGATGATTCTCAACAAGAAGGATTGACGTAGTGTATATAAGGTAGGAACCAAGTTGACGGCATCTAATAACTTTTTGGTTTGTTTTACCTTTCTCTTTGTACAAATGTTTTGTTCTCCTGGTTAGGTTTATTCTTCAGTATTCCATATTTTGGGTGGCTAATATAAATGGAATCGATTTTTAAATTTCCCCTTCAGAAATCTCTTTTTTAGCATATAGAAATCCAATTGATATATTTATGTTGATCTTACAATTACATCCATGCTTAAAATCCATTCACATACCTATAATTTATATATGTCCTTGGTTCACTTTGTGGACATCATCATCATTTTATAGGGAAACATTGTAAATCTTCCTCATGGGGCATATGGTAATAGTATTTATAGTATAATTAATTTAGCCAATGGTATGGCATTTATAGCACTATTGAGAAAAGAAACGTATCATGTATAGGACAGCTTTTTATATCACAGTACATGAAATATTGACTTGTGGGGGAACCGATTATTATGATCTGCATATAACCCCATTCAAGGGGGACAGACATCAGAAAAGTGGGTGAAGGGAGACATCAATCAATATAAGACATGAAAAAATATTAATGATTTATAACTTATTATAGAGGGAGGGTGGGGGAGGGTAAAAATGAGGAGCTGATACCAAGGGCTCAAATAGAAAGCAAATGTTTTGAGTATGGTGATGGCAACAAATGCACAAATGTGCTTGACACGATGGATAGACATATGGATTGTGACAAGAATTGTATGAGCCCCCAATACAATGATTAAATTTTTTTTAAAAAATGTGACTGGATACTATGTAACAATGAGGGCTGGACATAGGGAAAGCTTCCAATAACATTCATTCACAAGGGCAGAAATATGCCTTATGGACTAACCTATGCGATAAAATCAAAGAGAGCATTAAAATGGCAGATACAGGGTAGTCAAGGGCCACTATTTGAGCACTCTAAAAGCAAGAGATCTGAACCAAAGTTCAGTGACCACAAATTCCATACCTTAGTATAGCTGTCATATGCTTCTTTTCACACTTGTCCATTTCAGCAATAAGCTCAAGGGAATATTTCAGTTCCTTAAATCCGTTACAAGTGATTTTAAGGTAAAATGCAGTTCACTTAGTAGGATTTCCAAATATGATCCTTCAGGGTAGCCTATGAAGAATGTTTTGCATCCCGAAGGACCGAGTCTAAAGTCCCAGTTGGTTACCTAGGACTGGATAAAAACTAGTTCAAAAGTATCTAGTGAGAATCATAATACCTGATATATACTCTCCTTGGGGTCTATATTAGTAATGTTAAGTAGTTTTCCCCAATCGTACATTGTTCCACCCAGTTTACCAATAGTGATCACCTTTTCCAATACAAACATGCCCCTCTTCACCTCTTGATTTGAATTTCCAGTAAGGTTCACTAATCAATCTTGTAGGAGTTTTCTGTTGAATTGGGATGACCAGGGGTCAATATTATAGGGCAATATAAAAAATATATTATATTTATTTTATTCTACTTCTCCCACCAATAGGAGAAATTGACCAAGGCTGAAGTGAGGCCTTCTTTCTCAAAGTAGTTTTAAATGTACAAATAAAGGAGTGATATAAGGATTATGGTTATTAGGCAGGCACATGACCTTATTGCTGGGAGACTGGATTAGAAGATTACCTGGATTGAGAACAGAATGCTTCTTTTGCCCTTACAGTGGTGGATTCATACAATATTGGTCCTTTTGCGATGAACTAACTTCAATCAGCATAATAATTTCCAGGTCCATCTATGTCGTGAGGTTTTCTGTAGTTTCATCACTAATTTTTAGGTGTGCATACTATTGTGTTGTGTGA